TCGTTACTTTAATAATACTTTAGTATGACCAGATGATCTACAAAAATCAGCCAATCACAATAAAGTTCGCTATGCTAAAGCTACCTCTGTAATATAGAAAGGCTGGGTTCGGCATCCAGGGCGAGTGGTGAATAGGATACACGCTAATTATTGAAGACACATCACCGTAGACTATTCCGGCGTGAATTCTTTAATTGTTAATGGTGATGACACATTTACTCACTTTTTTTTTTATTGATAGAGGGAGTGACGACGGGGGAGTAGACATCATTTGTGAAGTGAAAGGGATCACGGTCTTGTTTCAATGCAAGAATTGGGATGATCAAATCGGTAGGTTTTAGCGCTAAGTCATGTTTGATTCAAGAAATTTGCTAATTGAAAGTAATGTAGGGTCGTTCGCGAGTTGAGAGGTGTGGTGTGCGAAGAAGAGCCCGGTACGATCGGTATCGTGGTCTCCCCGCCTTAATTTTACCGAGCCCGCTATAAATGAAGCGAAAGCATCGAAATATATTAAAAACAGATCGAATGAATCTAAGCATCCCATCATCTTAACGGATATATCTCACCTCCCCCAGGTTATCCTTAATATCATGTTAGACTCTCTCCAAGAAAGAGAATATAATTTTTTCTTTTATCATGACCTTGTAAATCATTAATCTTCGTATTACACCCTTACTTAACCATTAATTCCGTCATATACATTCCTACTTTTGTCATTCCTTACATAACTTTCATTTTCTGTAATTTTTTTTAGAAGCATATAATAATTAACCATTAACGAATCTGATTTATCGGTAATACTAGTTTTGTGAATGATGAAGTGTTCTAAACCAATGTTAGCCAATTAACTTGTAACACAATTTGTTTAAATATGCAAATTTCTGTGTTCTGTATTTTATTTTTATTATTCATATTAATAAAGTTTGGCCCTGGTGGCTCGATTTCGCATACATAAATATGTTTACTTTTGCATGTGTATTTCGTGAATTTATTTTATTGTATTGTTATCGATGTATAGTAGCTCGTATATGATCGAGAATTTTTTTACGCAGTCATGTATTTTAGATTTTTTTATTTTTTGTGATTACGTAGCATGTATTCTGATTATGTTTCGATGAAAATATATATCTCCATGATAAAAGAATTGAATATATCCGTATTTTATATAAAAAATGGCAAACATGCAATCTAAGTGCATCATCTATATCTCCATCCAATCCAGTACATGACCGTACCCCAGAAAATAATTAAGATTAAAATTACCGGAAGTTGAAGTAAATACATCCACCGAAGACACTGAGGATGAAGATGATAATAAGGAATCTTCCGACGATGATAACTTCGATGATGAGGGTTCTTTCAATAACAACGAAGTTGATGGAGGGTTCTGTGGTTTTTCTGATGATGATTATGAAGGTTATTATTACAATTTAAATACTGGCAGAGTATAAAGAAAATCGGATCACTTAATTAGCATAGATGTTTTATGTTCGTTGACTGACTCGATCAGTAAAAAATAACGAAAACGACTTTTTGATATATAGCAGAGCCAACACTGTCTATTTTTTGATACTTAAATATTTTTTACTGCTTTTTTTATTAGTAAATTATTTATATCAATATCTACGAAAATTTATTTTATAGAATGTGACCCATGTCACAACATC